AAATCTTAATAAAATTATTAATTATTGTTCCTTAACTTTAATGCTATTTAATATTATCTGTTAACTTATGTATCCAAATAGATAGAAAGCATGAACAGTGTCATGACTTCTTATTACTGCGTGGCTGCTAGTATAGTGTTAGACATATTGCAAACACTAAGTGAAGGAATAAATTACTTAATGCCAAATATTGTGTGTAGAACAGAATATTAATAAATGTTATTGACTCACATTTCTATTTCTTTTTTGGCTGTTTAGATATAAATCTTCAGCCACCATCAACAGAGCATTCACTGATTGGTACAAGCTTTACCCACAGTCCCGCTACTACTATTAAAGAGTTCTTGAACACAACCAACTTCTCCAGCTTGTCACTGAAATCAGTTACAACTCAGATGGATAATTCAAAGAAGACTATTTCCCATCAGATTCCAGGTTTTGAACATGTGGATCATACTCTCAGTACAAATCTCAGTCTGGATGAGATGGAATTTCCCATGAAGAACAGTAGTTCTTTAAGCACTAACTCAAACGGCTCCCATGGTGAAGTGAAGGATCTTGTCCAGAGCACCATCCAAACAGAGACAGGAGAATATAATTATGAAAGTAACAGGTCTTCCCAAGGTTACATACAGTATAAAGATGAGTTTGCACCATTGCTTACTAAAGCAGTCACTATTTTGCCAGAAAAGTTTGCATCAACCAAAATATCACCTTGTACTGAATCATCTTGTTTTTTTGGTGTTTCCTGCATGCCAACCTCAGATGGTCACTTCAAATGCGGACGCTGCCCCTTTGGGTATTATGGCGATGGTATCAATTGCAGAAGTAGTACAACACTCTTCAGAAGATCCACACAAAACTACCTAGTTCAAGTTTAAGAATTTCGAAGATTTTGTTTCTATTTACTAATTTCTATTTATCTCACTTAGTTCACTCATTTCCATTTATTTAATTATTTGTGTATACTGTAGTCTCATCCCATTTTGAAAAAAAATGAAAGTGGGTTTTCTGAGTTATTTTTTTAAATAATGTAATATTATATAGTATTATAACTATAAAATATATATTATAAATACATTCCAGTACCTACTGTGCTCCAGAGTCAGTAGAAACATTCTATATCAATTATGTCATATAATCCACATTAACTCCACATATTGGGTATTATTTTTCCTACCTTACAGATGAGAAAGCAGAGCTTTGGTGGGCTGACATTCTTGGCATTAAGCAGCTAAGGAGATAAAACAAAGATGTGACTATAAATCTGATTAACATCGTTGTCTGGGTTCTTTTCAGCTCACAGTGGGCATTTAGCAATTCAAATTACTAATCCTGGAATATATGCTTACTTGCATAAATTTGGTTCTCTGTAGTTCCTCCAGCTCTTTTGAGATCAAAACAAGTTGTATATTACTTTAAATTTTAAAAATACTGTTGCTATCTTTTCGCAATTATTAGCATTATTTTCTCTGATGCAAATCCTATTTTTGGCTATGACAACATAGAAGCTGTTTTTGTATTATTGTTTTGTTATTGTTGTTTTGTTTGTTTTGGTTTATTTGAGACCAAACTTAAGCAAGAGAACTACGGGTATATTCCAGTATTTTCAGTATAACCTAGATGAAAAAAAGAAAAAAATTTCTTTTTTCTGTAGAAATGACAATAATAACCCTCAACACCTACATGTTTATATTATAAAACTGCTTATTATTAGCAAGTAAAACAAAACAACTCCATGCATTTCCATTACCTCAGGAACTGTTAAATGCCAAATAGAATATATCAGGTAGTTAGAGAAGCTTAAAGAAAACAAACTTCTTAGCTTATGATGTATTCTCAGCATCTTGCTCTTCGAAATTCTGATTATCCCTGTTATTCACCAACATTTATCTGATTGGTATCTAAAATTTCATTGCCCTCTGAAAAAAGACTATAATCCCATGTATAGGTAGCAGCTATCTCCAACACCAAGTTCTGCTGTGGAAGTGACTATCACATATGTACTTCTTACTTACCCTATTAATCATTTTCCTCAGTCATTCTAGCAATAAAACAAATGCAAAGGAAAACAACCTAATTTTATGGGTACATATAGTGGTGGTTGTTTAATAGCAGTATCAAAATGTTAAAATTTCAGAGAATTTTACTTTTATTATAACAGTCTATGGGCAACATGTATATACTGTATCAACAATTCAGACCTTTTTCCTTGATTTTTGCAGCCATTTGTAGACACCCATGTGGAAAAAACAGGGAGTGTGTTGCCCCAAACATATGCAAATGTAAACCCGGTTACATTGGTTCTAACTGCCAAACTGGTAGGTACATCATTCATTAATTTACATAATGAATTTTATTTGGTAATTGAAATTTATAAAACCTGGGCTTTATTTTATACAGCTATATGTCACCCTGATTGC